TATTAACATACATGCACAAGGGAGCTGCAATCTCAGTGATGATATCTATGTGGTGTATTTTCTTGTTTTTTTTTAGGTGCCAAAGTCCACCAATCAACAAAATGTACAAAAGTAATAGAGCCAGGAGGAGTATCATACACCCTGGAGTCTGTTGGAGGTATAGAAGGAGTGCCAGCTGAGATGAGGCCCTTCCTCCAACATGTTCAAGAAGCTTATGAAMGATGTCTAAAGCTAGAAGATGCTATTGGAAGAATTGACAATGAGGACRGTGGTCAGCAGTATTTCCCTCTTATTGTTGGTAGAAGACCGTCCAGGAAACYGTCAACTGACAAAGATATGCCCTTAAACAAACCAAAACCCTTGTAAGCTCATGAGGCCATCATTATTAAACATATATATTGATTGCATGCTTGCAACATAACAGTTTTAWCTGGGAGACTATTCAAAAGGTTTTTGATCTTTTGGGAGCCAGAATCCTTTGTCATCCACATGCATTCCAGCTAACTGCATTACATGCATGATCATAGTTATGCCGAATTTCACCTGTATTTCTGTTCCATTCAAGGTCCAAAGGTCAGGGAATATTACCTACATCACCAAGTATAGCTGCTCCAGTGTCTGTATCTGTGCATTCATTCAATGGTACCATAGCCAGTACAGCTCCCTCTTCACACCCATCAAGTATTTCACATGGAAAGTCACTTCATCACCACAACACTACCAACCAACATTCTAATGTACAACACAAGAAACTAGSRTCTGAAGTTATGATCCAAAGCAAAGAGAGAGAAGAACAAAGCATGTTAGATTGTAAMAARAAGAGTACTGTTTCACCAACAGCTGAGATTTTTAAGAGTGCATATGTGGATGGTATAGGCTGGGCCTCTCAGGTAAACAATATCTATTCCACTCTACATCATTGCTCATCGTTATTTTAGCTTCCTTTGTATCTATTTTCATTGGTTATTGTAATTAATTTGTAATTTGTATTGGTAATTGTGTTTCAGCTGATGAGTGGAGGTGTCTGGGTACAGTACAGTGATGGATCACAGCTGATTWTCAATGCCTCTGATGCAGTAAAGTACACTGATTGCAATGGGCTTGTTACACAGTAAGTTATCTGTAAATAAAATGACAAGAACTTTCTTAATACAAATATTTTGACAATGATGATGGATGATGGATTTCATCTGAAATATTTGTATTAAGAAACTTCTTGTCATTTTATTTGCTTCTAAAATCTTAGCTCAATCATTCAACATCTTTAAGTTATTATTTGACCAAATGCATTTCCAATATAAATCCATCTTTGAAATGTCTCTAATGCTGCAACTCAGTGAAGTACTTTGTTTGGTTTGAGTTTAATTGCTGTTTTTATCTCTTTGCTTTTGTTTTGTGGAATTAGTACCACTCGTTTTAATGAAAGGGTCTAAATGTTATCATCTCGTCTTCCTCTTGTGCTTGA